ACATCAACCAGCTCTGACTGGGGGATCCCAAGGCGCTCCCAGGCCAGCGAAGAGCANGCGAGAGTAAAAAGCTGATCCGTCGTTCCACGACCAGGACGGAATCCGCATTGTTCCTCCTCAATCTGAGGTTCGACAATCGGCCTGACCCTCCTTTCGAGTACCTTAGAGTAAACTTTCCCGGGGAGGCTGAGTAATGTGATGCCTCTGTAATTGGCACACACCCTCTGATCCCCCTTTTTAAAAAGGGGAACCACCACCCCGGTCTGCCACTCCTTCGGTACTGTTTCCGACTTCCACGCAACGTTGATGAGACGTGTCAACCATGACAGTCCCTCAACACCCAGAGCCTTCAGCATTTCTGGGCGGATCTCATCCACCCCCGGGGCTTTGCCACTGTGAAGTTGTTTGACGACCTCAGTGACCTCCCCCCGGGAGATTGGTGTCGAAATAAAAACCCATGGCAAAGTACTCAAAATGACTTCTGTGAAAGTTCCCGCTGCAGGAGGGATCTTCAACATTTTGCCATTAATATACAAACACTAAACCGAGCCTAATGAAAGCTGCGTTTGAGTTGCATTGTGGGAAATGGGGTACTCAGCTTTTTTGGAACTTGCTTCATACTGGGGACTAGTCAGGATGTATTGAAATGCTCTAATTTTGACAATTATTTAAGTTCATCCGTCTCTTGCATTGCCCTAACTTGAAAGTGTGATATAAAGTTATATAAACAGATATGTATGGCTTTATTAGATCCTAAGAAACTCTTAATATCTCAATTTATAAACGTTTTTTGTCAAGGTTTGTTCAAGGTCTCAGATGCAGAGAACAGAGGGTTTAACGGTTATAATTGATCAGGTTATTGATAGAGGAGCTAGTCACATCTGGGCCCAAATCCCAGGGTGAAGGGCCAAGTCATTTTGCACACACACACACACACACACACACACACACACACACACACACACACACACACACACACACACACACACACACACACACACACACACACACACACACACACACACACACACACACACACACACACACACACACACACACACACACACACACACACACACACT